CCTTCTGAACCTTGGTCGTTTTACAGAATACTGCAATAAACTTGCTGAGTATTTGCACATAAAATGAAAAAAGCCTCTCTGCAGAATGTTCTGACTAACTGCCTCTACCTTGTGAGAGATAGTAGTTACATAGCAATAACTATGGTGAGTAAATTCTTATGTGTGGATAGACTGTAGATTTCCCTGGGGTGAAATCATGTTCACTCAATGGAAATAATTAGTCATTGCTAATTAGGATGAGTGCCATGCATCTCATCCTTAAACAATCCTCTATATTGCGCCTGTTTCTCTCAGCTCCCTCCGAGAGAGATCCCAGTGTAAGCCGCATATAATGCATATATAAAAAATGCATACCCTATGTGTATGTAGCAAGGGGTTAAGAAGATCTACTCTCTTCTCTCCAGCTAATGTTTTGCTGTAGTAAAGATTGCCCATTTCATTCTTCCATTTATTTTCTTATTTGGGTTATTTTTCAAGCCATACTAATATTTTGCTTTTCACTTTAGTACTAAAGTACTCACCAAAGGCCTCACAGGCAGCTACCCAGTGCCCCTGACTATCTTTTTTCTCATAATTTAACTCTTCAAATAATGCCAGTTAGAGCATACCTGCAGTGTGCTCTGCAGGGCAACATAGAGATATTGAGCTACTCCTGAACAAACTTGCTGCTGCCTTGGGTACTCAATTCCATGGCATCCTTGCATCAGGATATATTGTGAAGACAGTTCAGTGGGATATAGCATCCTCTTTATAAACAGACATTGCTTTGGCCTTATCTTAGCTTTCCAGTTCTTCTAACATCCCATTTTCTAAAGTTCATTTACCATGGATATTCCAGAATATCACGCAAAACTCTTTTTGCCCACAGTTTAGTTCAAGCCAAAGAGCAGCAATGTCCATGCATTTTCTCTCCCCTCGGAGCCCTGGTTGTTGGCATTGTTCTGTCTGCATGATGGGAAAATAAACTTCTAATGTTTGATGTCCAGAAAAAAATACCTTACTCAGTCTTTGCTTTGCAAATACAGCTTATTTGCTCTGTTTAATATTTACCAATGGACATTAACTTAATACTACCCAGCAAAATGAAGACTAAGGATGAAGCACTCTGAAAGAGAGGTCCAGCACTGTAAGTACCACATTAGACTTTCTTCAAAGTCTTTGGATTCATGTTGTTTGTGATCTCTGCCATTTATTGCACAATGTATAATTCTGAGATTAATTTATTTTGTACAGTAACTGCAAATTATTTATCTTCTGGAAGCGTTTTTCTAAATGTTAGAGGCAGGATTCAGTCAGTGATCCAGCTCCTAGCTATAGTGGCAGGATGACTGGGAGATGACGTCCAAAATGAGTACTCAACAGTCATTACCAAGGTGAAGAACAAATCCTTGTCTCTGCTTCCAGAAAAGTAAATTTAATTGCAGTCTCAGTGTCCTGACTACTCCATGATGATGCAGGGCTAATGAAAATAATGTCCCTGTACCTCTTGTGTGCTTAAAGACCAGGCTACTTGCAGCCAAGTGGCCTTAAAGAGAAATCAGTCTCTCTCAAAAGTAGATTTTGGGAATTATGGAAAGAGTACTTACCAGACTGAAATGAACTACCTCCATTTAGAATGCCTTTTCTTTTTCAGATTCAGTTTTTTTTATCCAGCATTTTAGACATGCTGAGCACAGTTCCCATACTCAGTACTTCCATAGCTTATATCTCCAGTGTTTTATTCCGGGCAGCCAGAAAAGGAGAAACCCAGAATTAACAACTCCCCATGAAAAGTTGCTGTAAGACCCAAATCTGGCATTGGACGCACAGCCTGAGGCAGACCCTGGGGCAGAATCCCACTCTCCAGAATTAATATACAGCTGCTATGAACAACATTCGGATTGTGTCCATCTTCCTGCAGGCCACTTCATGTTTCTGAGTTTCTGTCATTTAGGTGAGGCATCCTATGGAGAACTTTTTCCTCCAGTATATTTAATGGTTCTTCCCCTGGAAGGGGCAGAAGAGGGACTGTAGGATTATGCAGAATTTGCTTATTTCAGTTAAAGAAGGAGGGAAGGTCATTGAATTGTGCATACACAGCAAGACAGATTCCACTATAGCTTTTCCTAAGCTTTTGAGTCTTGGGCTTTGCAACCTTATGGATGGCTTATGCACAATAGGGACAGCCAATAAACTTTCTCAATTTACCCTCAATTTGCTGAAACATTTAAGTTAATGTTTTGAAATAATATCGTTCTGGAGTTCAGAGCTGCTACACAAGAGGCAGAAAGATGTACACAGTTTAAGGGGTGAACGTTAGATGGATTTTACTCACAGCTATAACTGACATTATCTCTGTATCACTGCAGTGCTTGAAACACGAGTCATTACAAGACCACAGGTACTAAAGGAACACATCAGCATGTTCCTCTTCCAAACTACTTACTAAATACATGGGGGCCAATAGGTGAACTCAGCCATGCACTCAAAAGCACTTAGGCTATGGCTGGTCAGAGGCAAGAACTTCATTAATCAGGTGTAATACCTCAGAAAAGCCTATACAACATAGGTTCTTTCCTGGCGATGTCACATGAATATCTTCATTCCTTTGCTCGTTGATTGGAGACTGATAGAAGTGACTAGAAATAGACTATCCAGGAGGCCAAGTAGAAGAGAATATCTAAATAGAGCAGTAATCCTAAAGACTGACAACTGAAAATTAGTATCTAGAACAAAAGGTATTTTAATGCAGGAAAGATAAAATTCTCTAGATCTGAAAATTGCTCTATTCTTTCTTGACAGAGCTGTTCAGAAGGAAAATGAAGTCTGCACTGTATTTGAGTTTGCTGCTTCTTGGACTTCAAGTCCAGGGTCAGCACAAGCCCAACCTCAATGATGAACAGCAGGAACAAAAAATACCTCATTTGCCAGAAGGCCATTTCCATGTTGAAGACGAAAACCTCGCTTATATCAAGATAGTCCACAGCAATATTGACTTTGCGTTTAAGTTTTACAAACAGATCAGAGAGGAGGCAGGCAACAAGAACATTTTTTTCTCTCCTTTGAGCATCTCCGCTGCCTTTGCAATGCTCTCCCTGGGCGCCAGATCAAACACGCTCCTCCAGCTGCAGAAAGGTCTCGCCTTCAACATGACAGAGATAGAGGAGCAGGAGATCCATAAGGGATTTCAGCAGGTCCTCCAGCTGCTGAACGAACCTCACCAAGATGTCCAGTTGAGTATTGGCAATGCCCTGTTCATAGACGATCGACTGAATCTGCTCCAAAAATTTTTGGATGATGTCACATATTTTTATTATTCCGAAGCTACTTCTAGTAACTTTCAGAATTCTGCAGAGGCTACAAAGGAAATCAATAACTACATAGACACAAAAACCAGTGGGAAAATTGTTGATTTAGTCAAGAGTCTTGATGCAGACACTGTGATGGTTCTAGTTAACTACGTTTTATTTAAAGGTGAGTGAAAAATGCAGGTAGCAGTTATACACATAAGCTCTGGAAGTCTTATCCAGATCTAAGAAACATAACTTTTTTCCCACTGTAAACCTATTCTATCATCTAATTTAAAATACATCTTTCTACTTTTAAATGACATAAGGAAATATTGAAAAGCCAGGTATGAAGAATAATATTCTATATGATTTTTAAAAAAGAAAGTAAAAAAAAACAACTTGTAGAAGTACTTATCAATGTCTTATTAGTTTTAAACCAGATTCAGAGCTGAAAATTTTCAGAAGGTATGAGCTTGGGAACTTATGCTGAAAGGCAAAGGTGTTTGGCTGTGCAGGACGTGGTCAAACACAGGTGACGCTCATACGAAAGGAATGAGGATGGAGCCTACACAGTGGCAGTCTGTGGAAGTTTTGCCATTGCGTTAGCAGGCAAAGGCTCAGGTCTTTTCCATGGCAACCCTCAGCTTATGTCTTTTTTGTGTGATTTCTATTAGAACCATTGAAATTACTTAAATATTCATGGCCAGGGAATAAGCATCCTTATACTGAGATAGGTTTGTTGTTACCTTTACAATTCAAATACAGTATTTTAAGCATTAACTAGTGTGATATGCCTTTATTAGCCTCTTTTTCAGTTTATTGAATTCTATACTCATTCTTTTATCTAAAGGCTACTGGGAAAGACCTTTCAACAATTTGTCCACCAGAGATGATGACTTTTTGTTGGATGCCAACAATTCTGTTAAGGTCAAAATGATGCATCAAAACAAAGTTTTTAATGTCCATCGGGATGGGGAGTTGTCTTGCTGGGTAGTAGAAATCCCATACAAAGGAAATGCTACTGCCTTGTTTGTTCTGCCTGATGAAGAGTCAATGAAGCAGGTGGAGGATGCTCTGCTAAGAAAAACAGTGACTAAATGGATACACTCACTTAAAAAAAGGTAACCTTTCAACTGCTGCTTTGTTTAAATATTGAAAAGGCCATAACTACTCATCCAGGCAAACTAAAGCTTAGGATGCCACAAAATGTTGCTAAGCACTGAGGAACAAGCATTGCATGATTTCTGTAAATCAGACAAGCTATCAGGCAATTTCATTCATAAGGGGAGTCTTCTCCTTAGCTTCCCCAGTCACACAGTGGGACTGCTACCAGCCCCATAACTACCATAACATGCCCTCAGGCACCTGCCTTGAGTAGTAAGAATCCAGTTCAAAAGAAAATACAATTTCTTTTGCTTCAGTTGAGCTGATACTTTGCAGCCAGTCACTTCCATAAACCAGCACTGTGTCACTCCAGCACTTACTCTGGCTGGTAGGACAGGTACCTCAATTTCTCCTTCTCTAACATGGGATTTATCACTGTCTTAGAAAACCAAGTCTTAGCTCCACAGGTATTTGGGATGGGTGTGCAAGAGCTATTGCATCAAGGGATCTTGCAATAATGCATTCACATTTTCCCTTTATTTTTGAAAAGAAAAATCTTCCTGGACCTTCCAAAATTCTCCATCTCTGGCACCTATGATGTTAAGAGCCTGTTTGAGAAAATGGGTGTGACAGAGGTGTTCAGTGACCACGCTGATCTCTCTGGAGTGGCAGAAGACACTCCTCTGAAGGTTTCCAAAGTAAGTATGCAAACAGAGATGGTGATCAAGAGATTTGTCTGCCTTGCTTACATGCATGTTTTATCTCCACAAATAGGCTGATCCCAGTTCTGGAGTGTAGACACAGCTCACTGATGGTAATAAAGGAAGAAGGTTAGGGATTAAATGGCTGTTGTTCCTACAGTTTAATATTAAATTGTTTAATGCATGTGGATCCTGCAAGTCCACTTGAAAGTCTCTGAAGACGAAAGCAGATCTGGGCAGAGCAACAGGAATAATTTCACAGAAAGCTGAAGTAAAATAAATAATGTGTGACAGGAATCCCAGTTATGACATGAGTTTGGGAACAGTCATTCTTATCCTATGTATACAACTTTCATTACTGCATTATCTGAGCACCTCAGAATTTATATGGACAATAGACCTGTGGGACAAGGATAGCCCCATTTCGCAAACAGGAAACTGGCTCACAGACAAGTAAAGTGATTTCCCCAGTGTCCCAGGAAATATATGCCTTGTGGCATGAGGGAAATGATCCTTCTCTTCTATTCTCCACTTGTGAAATCACCTCTGGAGTATTGCATCCAGTCTGGGGCTCCCCAGTGCAAGGGAGATATGGACATACTGGAGCAGTGGAGGGTGAGCAGGACCCAGGTTCTTCTTGCAGATGCACAGTGACAGGACAAGAGACAATGCACACAAGGTAGTAAATGGGAATACCTCATCAGATATTATGAAAAAAAAAACAGCATGAGGTTGATCGAAAACTTGGATAGGTTACTTAGAGAGGCTATGACATTTCCATCCTTGGAAATGCTCAGATCCTAACTGAACAAGACCTTGAGCAACCTTATCCAGTGTCAAGAGTTGACTCAGTGTAGGATGGTTGGTTGCCTTGGATGACCTCTAGAGGTCCTTCCAACCTATATTATTTAATGATTTTGTGATCTCTCACACTGAACTATTACATGTATAAAGACCCAGATTACTGATATAGTACAAGTGAATAGAGGAAGGGTACCAGGACTGTTCAAGAGGAGTTTTCAGATGTGTTATGGACAGTGAAACAAAAATGCAGAAGGCTGACAAAAGACAATGAAATAAGATAATGTGAATTTAGAAATACAAATTTGCTATACCTACTATAGAAAGCCCTGTAAAGTCAGGTCATATCAGTGGTCTGCATCACACTATAAACCTTGTCGCTATTGTGTCTTTGCAGAAATAATTTTTTGCATACACAGAAATTGATGCAAAATTAAAATGCAATTTGCAAAATTGATACAAAAAGAAAAAAATCTTACTCTGAGAAATAACAGAACAGTAAATGTCCTCTACACTGCTCAGAAAGCTCCCCCTGAACTCAGAGCAAACTTTCTTTGTCTTGGAAATGCTGGACATGAGTATCTTTTTTCATACCAGTTCTACATTTGTTCTGTGCTTTCTCTTAAAAACTACCTTCTCATGGTGTTTAAGAAAGTTTGTCCCCAATCACTTCTCACTATTCTGTACCTTGATTTTAATCTTTGCTTCCCTTGCAGACAATTCACAAGGCCTTGGTGGATGTTAGTGAGAACGGTACAGAGGCTGCTGCAGTGACCATGATAGAAATGGTACCACTGTCTGCAATGTTTCCTCCTCCTACCCACATCAGATTCAACAGACCCTTCCTGATGATGATCATTGACAGAAACACCCAAAGCATGCTTTTCATGGGGAAAATTATGAACCCAGCTGCCAAGGAAGATTAAGCCAGAGCACTTGTACTTCTCAGTGTAAAGGAGAGAGCGTGTGCACATCCCAGGAACTTCTTTGCAAAAATGGGCTAGAATTGATCCCTAATTAACAAACAAATAAATAAATATTACCTGAAGTTGTTCTTCACTTACAAACAGACAGCTGGGGACAAGCATGTGTGGGTCTCTTCTCACAAGTTACAACCAATAGAAGAGGAAATGCCATTAAGTTGCACCAGGGGAGGTTTAGATCAGACATGAGGAGAAACTTCTACTCTGAAAGGGTTATCAAAGACTGGCACAGGCTGCCCAGGGAAGTGGCTGAGTCACCATCCTTGGGTGTATTTAAAATCCATCTAGATATGTTGCTCAGGGACATGGTTCAGAAGTGGGCATGGTAGTTGGTTAACACTTGGACTAGATATCTTAAAGGTCTTTTCCAACTACAACAATTTTATGATTTTAATGAACTTTCAGGAGTCAAGTTAGGATCCCTTCACAGCGTCACCTCAGCATCAAGAACTGATGGACCTACATACACTTCACAAGCACAGCGTGAGCTGAGCAACACCATCTCCTCCCAATATTTCCAGTCTCAGCTCTGCTGAGGAGAGGCAGGAATCAAAACTTTACCTAAGAGGGCCTCGGGCTCCCTGACGGTGCTGGGGGGTTTTGGCTTCTAGCTAGGCTGGGTCAGAAATGCTTAATTTGTTTTAGGAAAACCCTGACAGGTGGTATCTATGGGAGAAAAACACGGTGTGCTTATTTGTAGTGAGAGATAATGGGACCTGTGGGCAAGCACAGACCTTTACACAGACCTATGGGCAATAAAAACACAGCCTCTAATCAACCTGTTCACACGGACCTAAAGATTTGATTAATGTAAATTATTTTCTCTATAATCATCCCCTTGTCTCCAGATTTAAAAGAAAGAAAACCAGCAATGCTTGAAAAATGCTCTGTGGAAAGTCTCTAGTCAGCTGTTACCTATCTAACTTATTTTCCCTCTCAGGAAAATAACATCAATTGTTTCAGCAGTGCTCAAAGGGGCAAACCTCTGCTGCTGGAGCCAAGCCAAGGACTTCAGCTCTGCACAGGGCTGCCAAACTACATCTTTTCATCCGCAGCTACTAATATGGCTGCACAGTCATTGCTCCCCTGCTTCAGGAGTGGTGAGGTTTAGGTGGGAAGTTAGCTGTGCACTATTTTGGACACGTTAGAGGAAAGGCAAGAATGAGATCGAATAGGAAACTGTTCATATTTCCTCGTTTCTTCCTTCCCCCTTTGTCCACTTCTGGGACATGAAAACAAGAAACAATCTCAGTCTTTTTGTTTAGCTGTAAATATTAGATATCTGAAATAGAAACCTTTGTAAAAATTCTTGATTTTTTTTTCTTATCAGAACTATGACATTTTCTTATGGAAAATGGCGCAAGTCCACTTGGTACCCTATGGGTCAAAAGCACTTATCTGAGGGTGGAAAAACTATTTCGGCGGAGAGGACAGTTCCCAGCAATGCTTTTGTAACTTCCCTACAACTGCAAATAAGAACTCAAAATAAGTTCTAAAAGGCAGGCCAGTGATTTCTTAAATAAGCAGTTAAGTTCAAAGACTTTGTTGAAGATTTTTATGGGTTTTGGAAAGAGGCTTAAAGAATTGGAAGAGAGTGGGAGTGTTGAGCTGATTTGCTCAGGAATTTTAGCTCCATAGTGGAACTAGGGGGAGTACAGCAAGACATGATGATTTAACAAAAAACCAGAAAACTTTACAGATGTTTGGAAAGCCTGTCATAAAACTAAAGGCAACACAGTGTCCCAGCTGTAGATAACCCTGAATCAGCTCTGGCTGAAGCTGAAATTCTGCCAAAAGGAATATATATCACCCCAGGCCAAGATAACACCAGCGAACTGCAGAGCCTTCACATTTCTGAGAGTAATATGGAAAAGAAGAAGGGTGGGAGAGTAAAATCTCTCTGAAGACAACAAGGAATCCTTGGCCACACTTCAACAGCTTGATGCTCCACACTTCAGCAGCTTTATGCTCTTTTCACTCAAGGCATACTGACTCAAGGGAGAAAATTTGGAGCCAGGACATGGAATGGACTGCGAAGGTGCTGTGCCTCCCATGTTATCAGGAGACAAGTAACCTCACCTCATCATCCACCAGCACAGTACCTGCAGGTAATCAGCTGAAACCAAGGATATATATTCTGATCCTTGATGACTTCCTTTGTCAACCAAAACAGTAGCATCTCCCCTTATCATACAGGCATGCAAAGGGCCTGAAGCACCATGAGAGATAAAACCAGACTGCATTAACTTTACAATGTTTTATGTCTGTTTTGCATAGATTTTAACAGGCAGGTCTCTGTGCCTTCATTAGTCACCTCTCTCTGCTACTTTTGATGTCAAGGCCCTACCTAAGAAAACAGGCATTACTGAAGTGCTCGGAGGCAGCAGTGCTGTTGCCAGAGTCACAGGGACCCTGACCTGGCACTGCCTGCAGTCAGCCGTGAGGGGGAAAAGAGGTTATTTGAGCAGGGGTCATGTTTTGTATTTCCAAACAGTCTGACCCGGCATCCAGCAAAATTGTTTACGAGCAGCAATAGGGAATGTTGTAGGCGGCAAACTGGCATATTTGAAAAGTAACACATTGCACTTCAAAGTTACTGTGAAGTCTCTTGATTTTTCCAAAATGCACATATTGGAATAATAACCATAATTAGCCACCAAATCAGAAAGGGTCAGGAAAAAAACCCCATGATTTGCCCTTGACTAACATAGAATTGCATATTTAAAAATGTACTACAACAGCTTGTTACATTTGAGCCTTTTTCTGTTCTAGGTCTTTTCAAGTGCCCCTTTTCTGTAGGGTCACAGTACCTGTCCGTTTACTGAGTTGCCACCTTTGCAATTGCCTTGCAAGGAAGGGAAAGCATCTGGGGATCTCAGGCCCATGTGGGTCCAAGGAATTCCATAAGACTGTGGAGAAGGCCACTGCATCCACCTTCATTGCGTGGAGCACCCACCTTTCTTGCTCAGAGAACCAGGCACTGGGAGTCCACTTGGCATGAACTATTTCTATCAATACCTGGAGCTCTTTGATGGTTGAGAATTCAAGCAAAGAATTTCTCATGAGCCCTTAGGAAATCTGCTGGTTTAGCCAATAGCTATTATATGCACAGTCAAGTGGATTTTCTTGCCAGCTATACTTCTTTAAAGATGTGGGGCACCATCAGGTTTTTAGTCTTTTAAAACTCTAACTATTGCTAGCTCTGTTAATGCTTTCCATGAAACTTAGCAGTCCTCCTTTGTATATCTGTGAGTCTTTAGGCAAGTACATCACATTTACATAAAAATTTTGCATGCCTCCATGCTGTGCAGAAGTCAATGGGAGCTGCACATACCTATTGACAGTACTGCAGGTGGGATTGATTTTAATATTTCAATACGACACTAAAAAAGGAGCTAGAAATACACAACTTCTGTCTAATTTAGGAATACAACCATTCTTTCCAAATTTCTGCAGGGTCTGTGACATTTACTTCACGCACAGTGCCTTTGCACCACTCTCTGTTCAACTCTTATTCAAGAACAAATTGCCCCAAACTGAGCACTATCTGTTCTGCTCTGTGACAGACAGTCTGCAACCCTGGACATTCACCTTAAGACCTAAAAAATCAATAGCTGAAGTGTTGTGACTGTGCAAAAAATGGTCAACCTGACCCTGGTGAAGCAGTTTACATGGAAAAAAAAAGGTTCTTTCCCCAAAAAAGCAGATGGCAACTGAGTTTGAGATGCTGGTTCTCCAGATGTCCCTGCTCCCCCATCTACAGCCCTGCTGAGGTCCAGATGTGTAAGGAGTGGTAAAGGAAGAAAGCAGCACCAGGATTCATTCTCCCTGTTTTGGATCAGTTTTGAACCATTTAATTTCCCATCTTGCAAGGCTGCTTGGTGTCAGGCTGCTTGGTGGTCCATAAGGGTTGTAGGTGGGGGGTGAATTGTGTGAAAGTCCTCTCGTAACTTTTAAATTAGTTGGATGACATCAACAATTCTAAACTTAAAAAAAGGTATCTTAATAAAAACTTTGAAAGCCTGACACTTTCCCATTGAGGTCCCTATCTCTTGAATTCTCTGTGCTATTAGAGAGGAACACTAAATTAGGTATAAGCTAAACATGAGCCAGCTCTCTGGCTCAGCCATTGAACCACACATTGTAAGGGTCCAGGAGAAGAATTCTCAGTTGCACCAGGAAAATAGAGGGTTTGTTCTTTTCTATATGCTTCTAAAAATGAAACGGTTTGAACTGGAACTGATCTGAAACACATGCAAGGGCCTCAGCATAACAACTGAAACAACTTAGAAAAACAATTTATAAAATTATATAGCTCTTCTAAAACTGCAGGTTTAAAGAAAATCAGTTTCCATCCATTTCACATGTTTGCCTTTCACCAGGGTTATTACTAGCTAACAAGACTTTCAGAGCACCAGTTATTATGAGTACTGCTTGGTGAATCCAGCCATCTGGTCACAGCATAGATATGCCATTGCAAAAATAGATTTCTGTGATAAAAAAATTAAATAACTATCTAAACAGAAATTAATTTGATATTTCCTAATGATTTCTCTTTTGCTTCTTTTAGCTTCATTTTCCACTGTTTCTAAAAAGCCTCGTGAACAAAAAATTTAATTATAAAATGATCCAGGATCATGTTTGGTTTTTTCTGATGGCAAAATATCAGTTAAAACACAAATGAGGACCAAACTGAGCAAAAATTATAGTGAGCCTCACGAGCACTGGGTGACTGCCTGCCTGAGAGGTGAAGTCCCACAGACACAGTAAATCTTGTTTATTTTACAGAAAGGAAACTGAAAGGGGCATGGGAGGCCCAAGGGAATGAAATTTTGATTGGATTTGCCCATTTCCTTTCAGGTGGAAAAGATCCACCAGCCACTTCCCAGCACTTCCCCTCATCTTCCTCCCTGCAGCTGCATTACCGGGTAGGAGCTGGGATC